CGAGACGCAGCAGACGTTTGAGGAGGGCAGGAGAGACAAGCGCCAACTGAACTTCCACCCCCAAATCGTCAACCAAGGTAGAGAAAGAGGGCATCTTCCACCCAAGACGCTCCACGGACAACCTGAGGGCCCCAACGGGACCTCCAACCTGCCTCCAGGAGGGGGAAGGGCCCGCAAACACAGTACTCCAAGCCCCCCTGAGCTCGGCCAAGCTGGGGCCAAACTCGAAGGAGGCCGTCAGGCTGGCCCCGATTTCTTTGGACCAGCGCACGATCGGGGCCACAGCACAATACCAAGTGGGGTCGGCGGCGAACAGCAAAGCTGCAGTGAGAGATCGGCCTCCAGCCGAAGGGCTGAGAAACCGTCCAAGGGATCGCCGCAAACTCGCCAACTCATGGTCGGAAGTGCCATGCACCTCACAGCCATAAGTTCTGCTGGCCAAGGGGCCACTCGTATATATACGCTTGGCGTGTCTCCCCAACGCATTCCTGTGAACCCTCAACCTATGACATTTAGTTTTGAAGGCCTTCTTACGAATCTGAATCATAGCTCCTCTCCTGGCCGTCCGCCGAGGCTTGCCAGCAGCGTCGCCAATGCCCAGGTTGACAGCAGATGCGCAAGGAGCTCCGCCCACAGCGCCAAGGCCTCGGCGGATCTCCTTAGCCACTAGAGGGACTGAGGCGACCACGGCCGCCTTGCTAACAGAAATAGAGCAACCAAGATCGGACCCGATGGCCACCTGCAATCGGAAAGCAGCTTCGGTCAGGTCCTGTACGACGGCCTTGGGAGCCCCCCGTGCACGACAAGGTGTAGTCATCGATGTAAACTCTCAACGGGACCGATCTAGGGATGCTAAGGCCGTCTAAGGCAGCTAGCGTGAAGACGCGAATGAAAGTGGTGGCGAATCCACACCCAGCAATCAAACCTCGCCACGCAAACTGCGGGCCCTCCACGCGGCCGTTCATGGCCATGTAGCGGCACGAGCGGTGAGCCTCGTAGCAGACCCTGGCAATCTGCATGGGAAAGGAATGCCGGTGACAACGAGCGAGGAGCGAGTCGAGGTCGACAGCCTCGTAGAACTTCAGAAGATCCCACAGGACAGACCCAGAACAGTCCTTGGAAGCCACAGCAACCTCGCTCCTCACTCCTTGCCTCCAGACGGTATCGACACTGGAGGCAAAAGCGCCAGCACAAAAGTATTCTCGGGCATTGGCCACTTCCCACTGCCGAGCAAGGTCTCGCCTGGCGCGGGCCCACAAACGATGCAGAGCAACGAACAGTCCGATTGGGCGGTGCCCGCCACCGGGCTTCGCGAGCATAATAAGCAGCACAACTCTCATCTGACCAGGCAACAGACCCGAACGTTCCCAAATCGCAATCATGATCGACAGCACCTGCAGAGCAGGGTCCGACAGATGCTGAAACGACCGAACATGAAAGCCATCCACAGAAGAGGCGGTACGAGCAGGAAACGAACGGGCCGTCCGACGAAGATCCTCGACCGAAAGCACGGGCAGAGGCTCGAGAGGCACGAATCTGGAGCCAGAAGGTCGCGGCTCGGGAACAGGTTGGGCATGCCAGATCCGCGCAAATTTCTCGAGCTCGGAAGATAAAAGGGCCCCAGGGTCCGAAACCACCTCGCCTTTAGCCGACAGGGTCGTAGAGGGGGTCCACCCAGCAGCTCCCCGAATCACCCCGTGGGCATGACGGGCGCCGTTTTCAATATTGTGACGAATCCATTCCAACCAGTACAAATGATCATCGTGACGAGACTTGCTCTCAGCCGCCGCCAGGGCATGGGAGACCAAATCAAGCACGCGTTGGGGTTCCCCCTCAGTGACAGGTTGGCACGGGGGGCTATAGGTCACAATATCTTGCACAGCCTGGAGGAGAGTCAATGGCTCACCATCCCAGGTGCCCAGTCTCGACGGAGGGTGGAACAGCTCGCCCGCAGTGTCCCGCAGGTGTTGCTGCCGACGCTCCTCCGAGCTGGTCGCTCTGACCACCTTGCGCGAGCTATCAATAGCCCTCGCAGAGCAAGACCGTTTTTCATCACCGCAATAGGCAAAAGGTGGGGAGGAGAGAGGCGCCACCTGACAATCAAGGTCTTGACAACCGAGACCGTGCAGCTGAAGCCAAAGGCGGTAGCGCGAGCAAAGCCACCTCAAACTGGTAGCCTCCCGCGAGGTCCGCGAGATGCCATCCATCGAGCGATGCGACGCGTCGACGACGTTGACCCATCGCAGCTGCGCCTGGCGGCCTCTCGTGCCATGAAATGGCAGTTGGGTCTGAAACACGCCCTCGAGCTCCTTCTCAGCGGCCGTGCCCCACTCCCGATACAACACATCAAGGTTGAACTGGGTTCTATCAGTGTCGCCATTATCGGCCGACTCAAGGGCTCTGGAGGCCATGCGAGACACTAAGTCCCAATCCTTGGATGGTTGGGGAAGGGGACCAGGGGGCCGTTCTTTGGGGAAAGGAGGTGGGCTACGAAAAGTGAGGGCCCGAAGAGACGCAAGCTGAGGGTGAAGCTTAACCGAAACGGGGTCGTGGGTAGCCAACTCCGAGTCCGCGATAATCTTCACGCTCGCAATAGCTTGGGCGACCCTAGCCTCAACCAAAACATAGTCGTACATCTTCAAACCCCCAGTCGACCTACAGGTGCCAAGGACACCCGAGGGAACGCAAAATTCAGCACCGAGGCGGTCGGGGATCCGCGAGGTGCACAAGGTCGTTGGTTCCATGTTGAAATCCCCACCGATCACGAAAGGCACCGAGAGGCTCTTGGCTCTCGAGGCAGTGCACGCCAGGATCTCTCGATTGAGATCGTTCAAGCCAGCGCAATCCTGCAGGTAGACACTCATAACATAGAAACTAGCCTGGCCAGGGAGATGGACTAACACCCCAGTGGCTCGATGATCTTTCACCCGAGGCCCAAAATCGGGGTAGTGAAGACCCGGGAAGGACCGAGCCAGGACCCCGACTCCCGAGGACGGACCCCCTCCAGGTCCCAAAACTCCTGGCTCAAAATGCACCTTCCAACCATTTCGAACACACCAAGCCTGGGCCTTACGCAGGTCCTCGGCGCTGATGAGCTTGTGCTCCTGACACATGACGACGTGCGCCGTGGTCAAGGCTAAAAACTTCTTGAGGGAGCCCCATGATGTACAGTTTGCCGTGACGAACTCCAACTCTAGCTTTTCCCAGGAAGATCCATCTCGCCGCCAGTGGTGTCCCGAGGAACTCGAATCATCCAAAACTGGGCAAGAAGAAGGGATCATGGGAAAGGAGGAGTCCGTCCTGGCTCGATTACCCTGGAGACGGAGCCTTCGCTGCCGCCGCGGTCCTGGGGGGATGAGCGCCCCTCTGGACCGTCTGTCGGGCAGCAGCTCGCACATCTGCTGGGGCTGCTGGGGGGCCCGCTGCCTTGGCTGGCGGAGCGGGCGGAGGCGCCTTGCCCGTCGCAGCCGCCTCGGACGCTGGGGCTCCACCACCAGCAGCTGCAGGAGTACGCACAGCCTCACTGTCAGAAGACGCCGCCGCCGAACCTCCAGCTGCAGCGGGTACATCTCCAGCAGCTGCAGCTCCAGCGGCATCCACGCCGTCTCCGCCATCATCACCCTGGCGACGACGCTTGTGGGCCAGGCGCTCCTGCTGTTCCTTGTGCGCGGTTTTGTGCTCCCCCGCGCGCTTCTTGAGCTCTCCAAACAGCTTCGTGCACGTGTCCTTGATACAGTCGGCCATCTGACTCTTGCGGCGGGCTGCCTCCTCCAGGTCTCCCGCCGACACCTCGACGTAGTCCTCGAGCCCGAACAGGTTCCCGTCGTCAACCTGCAGCACCGTGAGGCGGCCCTCCAGGATGTCGGTGAGGCTGATCGTCGGCATGGACTGCTGCTGCTGCTGTGCCTGCGGCTTGGAGACTGTGAGGTGCAGCTCTGCAATGGCAGCCTTGTACTCCGCATCGTACTTGTCCAGTTCCGCCAAAGTAGACTCAAGCTGGGCGCGAAGGGTCTCGAGCTTCTGCTCCACAGTGTGTACAGCCTTGAGATCCTTGTCAAACTTCTTCTCAAGCTTCGAGATCTCGTTGTGAGCGGCGTCAGCTCGCTCCTGAGGTGGAACCGACGACTCCTTGAGCTTCTGCAACTCCTGCTAGGAGGAGGAGGAGGAGGAGGAGGAGGAGGAGGAGGAGGAGGAGGAGGGGATGGGGGGGGTAGGAGGTGGAGGATGACCCCGATAACATCTCGACAACACTCGATAACTATGGTTTCGACATGCTATCGAAGTGCTATCGAGTGCTATCGGGTGTTATCGATCTCGAAAACACTCGATAGCACCTCGGTAACATTTCGATAACATTGGTTTCGAGTGTTATCAAGCTCGGTAACACTCGAAAACAATGGTACCGGGATGGTATCGAGTGCTATCAAGCTCGGTAGCACTCGATAACACTCGAAACGCTTCGATAGCACCTCGATAACATGTCGATAACCTTGTAATCGAAGTGTTCTCGGGGTGCTATCGGGGCGTGATCGGCCGCCCCCCAAGAGGTCCCAAGAGGCCCCCCAAGAGGCCCCTAGAGGCCCCCATGAGGCCCCCAGGAAAACCCTAAAGACCCTCAGAAAGCTCTCAAACGACCCCAAGATGCCCCCGAAGACCCAAGAGGCCCCCCTCCTCATCGTCCAGCTGTTCCATCTCCCTGTCCTCCTCGTATACAAAGTCGGCGGCACCGACCGTAAAGCCTTCAAAATATAGAATCCCCGGCTCCGGGCACACGCTCCCCTCCTTAATGTTATGGGGGGGACGACGACGGCGGCGGCGGCGGCGACGCGACGACGACAACCTCCCGCTCCCTGAAGCACCCTCACCACTCCACATGCTCAGGGAGACGACGACGGCGAAGACGTCGTCGATGACGATATTGTTCCTCTTCCCTCTTTCCTCATCGTTCCTTGGCACCCTCATCCCTACATTGCTCTCCTTTCTCTTTCTCTCACTTCCTCCCCTCCCTCTCACGTCCACCCCCCACCACGCCACGCCCACACCAGGCATCGCGCGGGGGGGGCCGAAGGCATCACCATGAGAGGGATGGGCGGAGCCCTGGATCATATATGCACGTTCCTTAGGGTTTTGCGAGGCAGATCCCCAACTAGGATGTTGGGCTGGTGGGGCTGAGGTACGATGGCCCAGTGCTGATTATCTGCTCCTCTTCGGGTCCTTGTAGCGCGAGCACGCGTCCAGCCCCTGCTCGCTGTCACCTCGGTACGCGGGCCCGAGCCGTGCGCGCGCTGCGCCCACCAACCCCTAGGTAAACGAAGAGAGTGCGCCGAAAAGGGGACTGAACGCATCGGACGAGGGGGGGAGACTGGAAACGTGCTGAAAGAAGCAGTGGGGGGGCATGAAGTCTGGGAGACCGCATGGATCAGGCCATGCTGCCCACACACCCCTGATCCATGGGTCTCTGATTTTCGCGCATCTTGCCCCGTTGCGCGCCATCTTCGCACCCTCGCGCCGCTCCCCTGGAGAAGGGCAGCTCATGGAAGCTGCCCAATCCAGGCAACGACGTGCGAATAGTTTTTATTTTCGATCCCCACCCGCCCGACCGCGCGCGCCGCAGGGGCGCGGGCGCCGTCGATCGTGGCCCGACCTGACGCCGCGCGGCACGCGCGGCGTCCCCCCCTTCGGCGCCGCAGGCGCGGAGGTGAGGGCCGCTTGAAGGACGTCTAGTCGCCGACGGGGGCCCGAGATCCTGGCGCGCAACTTTCTCACACCTGGTGTTTTCGCCGGGACCACGTGGCTTTCGCGGGATCGATCTGGCTCGGGAAATGATGCAGAAAGATTAGGTCCAGGTTGCGGTCGCGATTCAGGAGGCTGTCGGATTTTTAACGCGACGTCGAATCTCGGGGAGGGGGTCGTCCCAACCAGCAGCACGCACAAGGAGGTACCCCGAGGGGGGGGGCCTTCGAAGAAGGCGGGGACTCGCGGGGACCTTCTGAGAAGGAGGGTGGCTTTCAAGCCCTCTCAGAGGTATACAAGCGCTTCTGAGACGGCCGCTGCCGTCTGAGAAGCCCCCCCCCCCTTCTTAGGAGGCTGGCCCCCCCCGCTCTACCCCCTGGTGTGCGCGCCGTCAACCCGAACCTCGGGGCCCGCGGGGGCCGACCCGGTGCGGCACTGGTGGGGACGCGAGCTACGGAGCCCTGGCGTCGCGCCTCGCGCACGACGTCGGAGGCCCGAATCGAGCCCACGACCCGGCGCAGGCGCGGGACGGAACGCTCGGGGCCTCCGGGGCGGGCCTGAGGCGGGAGCATGCTGCCTGCCACTCGCTCTCGGCCCGGTCTCTCTCGCCGCGGCTCCAGTACACCGCGGCCAGCACCGCGCGCGCGTCCACGTTCTTGGGGTCCCTCAGCCGGACGCGTTCCATGATCGCCTGCGCCTCCTGAGTCTGCCCCGCGCCGAAGCGGGCGAGGGCCTCGTTGGAGAGGGACGTCGCGAGGGCCGTGCGCTCGGACGTGGCCCCGAACTGGCGGCCCGCCGCTCTGTAGTCCTCGGCCGCCAGCGCGTAGCGTCCGAGGCGACTCAAGGCATTGCCGCGAAAATTCAGGACGAACGGGTTCACGCCGAGCCGGCCACCCTCCGAGAACTCCCCGTTCCTGAAGTCGTTGGAGACGCCACCCCACAGCTCGATTGCCATGGTGTAGTCGTCGACCGCACTCTGCCACTGTTGCAGGCCCTCACTGGCCAGCCCTCTGCGAACGAAGGCATCAGGAAACTCCTGATACTCCGCGGTGCCGTCTGGGCGGACGGGTGCAAGAGCGGTGTCCGCACGCATATCAGCAATAGCCTGCGTGTAGTCATCGCGGGCGCCCTCCAGCAGCTCTCGCAGCGTCCCCCCCGCGAGTTCGTTGCGCTCCTGGCGCGCCTTTGCGCGGAGCAGCAGCAGCTGCGCGACCTCCGACCGTGGGCGCCCCAGCAACCGCCACCGCCCCACAGCGCCGCCCAGCAGCAGTTCCGCCTCCTCTGAGGAGGCAACTCCTGGGAAGCCTTCGTGGGCATGGTAAGCTTCTCAGCCCGAGTCCCACCAGCCCTCCGGCGCGAGTGGTTTAGAGAGTTTCCTCTTCCAGCTTCCCTCTTCCCATTCGGGGAGGAGTTTGCCCCTCCCCCTCCCCCTCCCCCCCCCTGGGTCTGGACGTGGCGGGGGGGGTCGCGAGGCTTCGGAGCATCCAAGATGGCCTCGGCAAGGAAGACAAAACCATTGATGTTACAAAACGATGTTGACCCCATGTTGCCCTCTTCGCGGGGAGGTGCAAATTTAGTACGGCCCCTCCGTTGATCGATCTCCTCCGAGATGGCCCCAAGATGGCCCCCAAGGGAGCCCCGAGACAGCCCCAAGAAGTGCCCAGGAGGCCCCAAGAGGCGCCCAAGTGGCCTCCAAGATGCCCCCAAGAGGCCCCCAAGTGGCCTCCAGGATGCCCCCAAGAGCCTTCAAGCGGCTTTCAAGAGGCCCCCCAGAGGCACCCAAGACGCCCCAAGAGGCCTCGGCGAGAAGGCAAAACCATGCATTTCACTTGGAGGTTTGCAACATGCTGGCATCCTGGGGGTAATCTGACATGCAAACAACCAAGACGCCCCGAGAGTCCTCGACGAGAAGACGAACATGATTGAATCAACGGCGGTTTTGGCAAACTTCTGGCCTCCTGGAGGGGGGACCCAATGTCCTATGGCCCCTTCTTTTATCGATCTCATCCAAGATGGCCCCCCGAGGTTCCCACAGGTTCCCCAAGACGACCCCGAAAGATGCCCAGGAAGCCCCAAAGAGGCCCCCAAGAGGACCCCCAAGATGCCCCCACGAGGCTCCCAAGAGGCCCACAAGAGGCTCCCCAGAAGCACCAAAGACGCCCCAAGAGGTTCCCAGGACTGCCACGTGACTTCCAAGGCTCCCCAAGAGGACACCAAACAGTCCTCGGAAGAATTCCGAAGAGATTCCGAGAGGCATCCGAGAGGTGTCTGGCCGTTCTGGTCGCCCTCCTCCTCCTCCTCCTCCATCATCATCATCATCATCATCATCATCATCATCATCATCATCAGCATCAGCATCATCATCATCATCATCATCATCATCATCATCATCATCATAATCATCATCATCAAATCATCATCATAATCATCATCATCAGCAGCAGCATCAGCATCAGCATCATCACCAGCAGCAGCATCATCAGCATCATCAGCAGCATCACCATCACCATCACCAGCATCATCATCATCAGCATCATCATCATATCATCATCATTCTCATCATCATCATCATCATCATCAGCATCATCATCAGCATCATCATCCTCATCGTCATCGTCATCGTCATCATCGTCATCGTCATCGTCATCCACCTTCTCCTCCTCCCTCTTCCGTCCTTACCCTTCCCCCCTCTCCTCCTCCTCCTCCTCCTCCTCCTCCTCCTCCTCAGATTCCTCCTCAATACTCTCCCTCTTTGGGTATTACGGCATGCTCCTCCGCATCCTTATCAAGGCAACTCGCTTTGGCATCGTTTCTGGATGGGCTGATGGGGTTACGCAAAACGTCTAAAGTTGTAAGAGGCCTTTCAGCCGACTTCAGCCTCATTTGGCCAAGGATTTAGCTGGAATTAGCGGGATTGAACCTGATCAGACGGGGTCGGGCAAGATTGGGCCCTTCCATCGACCACGGATACACCAGCGCCGATGCTGAATCAGACCACCCAGGAGCTGAAGCAGAAATCCTCCAGGTCGCGCGCCCTGCCGCTCTGCAGCAACCGCAGCGCCCTGCCCAGCGCCTCCGCCTCCGCCGCAGGAGGCTGCTCGGCCGGAGCGGGCACTGGGGCCAGCACAGAGGCGGCCGCCGCCAGGGCCATAGGGAGCAGCGGTCGGCGGCCACTGGCGCGCGCAAAGGCGCCCGCGCCGCGGCAGCGCTGGATGGACGCCAGACTGGCCAGGCAGGCGGTTGCGGCAGCGAGCGCAAGGGCGGCACCGCGAGCGCGTCGCGGCGGCCGCTGGTGGTGCATGCCCGAGCAGGCGGGCGGCGCCCTGTGCCCGTTGCAAGAAGCCCGGGTCCCGTGCCAAAGCGGCTTGAGCCAAAATGGCTACAGAGCGGGGCGTCATCAGTATCCGAAACCAGCTCCATCCTACAAAGGAGTAGCTGCCACCGTGGGTCACAGACAGTGAATGATTGCACTCTCGATGCGCAGTTTGTGTGGTGCAGGACGCATGGTGCTCGCTTTGTGGTATAAGTTATGCGGTGCTATCGACGTGGTACTAGCTCAGTGTTGCAATGCATGCGCAGTGTACCAGATATGGCGCAGTGTACGTGCTCAGTGTACTAGACATGGCGCAGTGTTCAATTGGTACTATACCAGTGTAGTAGATATGGCGCAGTGAACGTGGCGCGAGGTATGTGGTGAATGATATGTGGCGCAAGCTCTGTACTGTAAGCGATCTGATGCAACATGGTGCAAGACTGTGTGGTGGAAGCCATGGGCCACGTGGTAGGCAGCACGAGGCGCTCAGGGGGGGGGGGAACCGCGCGAAACCTCGGGAACCAACCCAACACGATGCGCACACGGGGGACCCATGGGACTGGGCAAACACCGCGGGGCACCTTCCCCTGATGTAGACCACAGGCCGGGAGCATCAAGCTCGAACGCTCTTTTGGGAGAACATGAATCTCAGCGTACACCGATAACCAGCATACCCGACGGAACGGCACAGCTCGACGACACCACGAAAGACCCAAGTGGGCAAGGATGTGACGACCACGAACACACTTAGCTACACGAGATGAGATGACCCACGACGGAGATTGCGAGAGCAGGAGGGAGGAGAAGGTAGGAAGGGAATTACAAAGTGAAAAAAAGGGGGCGCATAGTAGGACACCTGCATGGGTTGATGGTATCCTCGGCTGTCGCTGCGGACGCGCCTCCATCTCCCCCTGCCCTGAACGCAGGGGCTGTCACGTTGGTTCTTTTGTGGATGATGTGCTGCTTCCTACCCCGTCAGCTCGCCCTCACAAAGCATACCATCAATAATGAAAAACGTATGCCCTCTGACCTCTCCTTAGGACTGGCCGATGTATCGCAGGGTCAAGGATATCGAATGAGGGTGAACCTTAGCGCCTCCCGCGTCCCCATTCCCATTCCTCTACACCCTTATACCTCCCCCCGCCTGCCTCTCTTCCTCTCTTCCTCCCCCTCCGCTTCACCCTTCTTCCATCTTATTCTCGGCCTCCTCCTCCTCCTCTTCCTCCTCCTCTTCCTCCTCCTCCTCCTCCTCCCAGTCCTTGCTCCTCTACTCTTCTCTTCGACCCGTTCCTCCCTTTCCAGCTACTCCACCTCCCTCCTCGTCCCCCATTGCCATCTTCTCTTGGGAAAGCGGCGGGAGGAGCATGAAAGAAACATCGGAGCAACCCGACGGTTCGCCTCGGAAAAACCTCTACTACCCCATCTCATCCACGTTCCCCGTCTTCTCCCGCCCCATCTTCCATTCGAGTGTTCGCTCACGGGGGGCAATCTACGTGGGGTGACGAAACGTACACTCTTCAGCCAGCGTCCGCAAGAAAGGTCAGACGGCGGTCGAGGCATTGCGTGGGACGCACGGCACGCGAATGCGGCACAAGGGAGGAAGACAGAACGGAGAAATGCGCGCGGGGAGCGGAGGTCGCGAAGAAACGTACACACTTCGTGCACCCGTCGGGCCCGCGGTGGCAGTCGAGGGACCGCTCACAGCCCTTTTGGGGCCACGTTCTTGCAACCCTCCCCGTGATTATTGACCCCGTAGCCGTCCGCCCAGTCCACTTCTAGGCGCTCTTGCTCCCCTTCCTTATCCGTCCTCATCCACCTCCCCCTATCCTCCTCCTACTCGGCCTTCGCGCACTCCTTCTCCCCGTCTTCATCTTCCCTCCTCCTCCTCCTCCTGCTGCTGATGATGCTAGCAGGCAGCAGTCGTGGGTCGCGCATTGGTCCTGTAAGTGCACCCACCCCATACAACGCAAAAGGCCGAAGCGAGACGACTGTGGAGAGAAAGGACGCGGAACGCTGTGACGCTCTCCTCCCCGTCATCCTTGCCTTGCTCACGCCGTTGCGCGACGCGCGAAAAGTCTTCGTCCTCGTCCTCCTTCTAGTCATCACGTCCTCCTCTCATCTGCGATCTGCGGGACCTTTGGCCACATCCGCACCCTCTTCTTCCTCACCCTCCTCCTCCAACTCCTCCTCCTCCTCCTCCTCCTCCCCCTCCTCCTCCTCCTCCTCCTCCTCCTCCTCCTCCTCCTCCTCCTCCTCGCAAGGCGCCTCTGGCGGGCACATCGATCGAGCGCGCCCGGCGACGGGGCGGAGCGGCCACACCACCGCGGGGTGCCTTGCCGACTGAGTGCCCCCTGGAGGACTTCGTGGAATAGATCTTGTACACCTGGCCGGCGAGCTCGCCGTCGTCCCTGATCCTCGTCCTCCTCGTCGAAAGGGTCAATATCCTGGACGTCTTCCCTCCTCCAGACCCCCTCTGCTCTTAACTGGGCCTCCTCCTCGGGTGTCCTCCTTCTCCTCCTGCGTGTCTTCGTCCTCCTCCCCTTCTTCGGAAGGAGGCATCCATGACGCGCGCGCCTTTTTCGCCGAGGTTGCCAGAAGAACAAGGGGAAGAGCAGGTGGACGGGGGAAGCGAAAATAACTTTTTGAGAAGGGAGCAGGGAAGCAGAGCACAAACATTGAGGGAATCAGCAGGCGGGGTGAGGAGCAAGAAGGGAATGGACTCGCTACGCGTCGCTACGACAGTGGTGAGAAGAGGAGCCGAAAAGCAAAAGCTCGCCAGTCTCGCCGGTCTGAATTCAAAACCGAAGCCGGGAGAATCGTGGTCACACTCTGTGAACGCGACCAAACCAGTGGGAGGCCACCCGGATTCAAAGGCATCCAGGCAGCATCCTGGGTTTACGGGGTCGCAATCGCTGACGTCGTGCAGGTCGCAGGGACATTCGGCATGGGCTACAGCCGCGCTTTTGGGTGGGTCGGGCAGATGGCTCCCATCAGGCGGACGGGCACGAAAACCATGGTGCGTGAGCATCCCCCCGAAGCGGGCATCGTTACAGAACTGGGCGCGCGGGTGAGGTTGCGAAGCCGACGAAGGGAGCATGCGGGAACATGTTGCTAACCACACACGTGGTTTCAATCGCAAACCAGTCAGCGTGCAGGGGGGGGCCACGTCGCCGGCGACTCGCAGCCTAAGCATGGCGGCTGGTGCGTAGGGGGACTTTCAAGGGACCTCTCCCCTGCCGAAACACCTAGCACGCGCAAGTGGATTGGTACCCCTGGGGGAATGAACACAAGGCGCCCCATGGGAATTACGGGCCACATGGCCCCACCTCTCCACCATTGCGCGATCCCCGCGCCTGGGAACCAACTCCCGTGCTACGGGCGTTGCTGACGCCACCAGCGGCAGGGCGAGGACGCCAAGCCGCTTGGTTCCCAAAGATCACGACCGGTTGCACCTCACCCAGCTGGCGGATAAAATTCCTGACCGTGTGCCCCGTGGAGTGTGTGGTACTGACTCCATGAGCACAGGTGCCAAGCCCCCACCCACGGGGGAAAACCGACGAGGGAAAACGGAAGAGAAAAGAGAATAGCAAGAGGACCAGGATTACGACCCTTGCAGCGACGCGGAGGCGAAGGGAGAAACAAACAGGGAGAGGAGGACACCGGCAAGGACGAGGATGGGGAGAAGAAAATGGCGATGATGTGGATGGCGAATCGTACGAAGAGAACCTCAGGAAGTAGACGCCGACCAGGCAGAGGTAGAGGGTAGGAGCAACCACTTCGACAATTGACTGTCGCCTGTTGGTCGTATGAACTAATGTGAGGGCAGCGCGCGCACAATATATGTAACACCCCAGACCTGCGGATCAGAGGGGGGGGTCGGCGGCGGGGGCAAAGTCTGCACGCGGGTGCGTGGCGCCAGGGCAATCCGCAGCAGGGCGAAGGAGTGGATGGGGGAGGATCAGAGCGCCATGTGAGCAGAAGGGCGAGGGGAAAATGTTGGGTTGAATTGTGTTCCCAACCATCCTGTGGTGTTGGGTCCTCCTTTTGAAGAGACAACGCCCCGCGGCGTCCCTCCTTCCTCCTTCCTCCTCCTCCCTCTCCTCCCACCATCATCATCGACATCATCATCATCGTCGTCATCACCCATTTCGGCACACCCCTCACACGTTTCGTGGCCCCATACGGAGCTCCGCCGTAGGGCCCCAAGGGTTGTGCCCGCATGCGTCACGCACACCCATGTCGGCACACCCCTCACACGGTTCGTGGCCCCATAGGGAGCTCCACCGAAGGTCCCAGTGGGTGTGCCCGCATGCGTCCCGCACACCCATGTCGGTACACCCCTCACACGCTTCGTGGCCCCACAAGAGCTCGGCCGAAGGTCCCAGTGGGTGTGCCCGCATGCGTCCCGTACACACATTTCGGCACACCCCTCAAACGCTTCGTGGCCCCACAGGAGCTCGGCCGAAGGTCCCACTCGGTGCGCCCGCATGCATCCCGCACACCCATGTCGGCACACCCTTCACACGTGTCGTGGCCCCACAGGAGTTCGGCCGAAGGTCACAGTGGGTGTGCCCGCATGCGTCCCGCACGCCCATTTCGGCACACCCTTCACACGCTTCGTGGCCCCATGGGGAGCTCCACCGAAGGTCCCAGTGGGTGTGCCCGCATGCGTCCCGCACACCCATCCCAGCACACCCCTCACACGCTTCGTGGCCCCATAGGGAGCTCCACCGAAGGTCCCAGTGGGTGTGCCCGCATGCGTCCCGCACGCCAATTTCGGCACACCCCTCACACGCTTCGTGGCCCCATACGGAGTTCCACCGAAGGTCCCAGTGGGTGTGCCCGCATGCGTCCCGCACGCCCATTTCGGCACACCCTTCACACGCTCCGTGGCCTCATGGGGAACTCCACCGAAGGTCACAGTGGGCGTGCCCGCATGCGTCCCGCACGCCCATTTCGGCACACCCCTCACACGTTTCGTGGCCCCATAAGGAGCTCCACCGAAGGTCCCAGTGGGTGTGCCCGCATGCGTCCCGCACACCCATTTCGGCACACTCTTCGCACGCTTCGTGGCCCCACAGGAGCTCGGCCGAAGGTCCCAGTGGGTGTGCCCGCATGCGTCCCGCACACCGATTTCGGCACACCCCTCACACGCTTCGTGGC